CTAGTAATATCTGATCTAGTGACCACCATGCTAAATCAATCCCTTGATTAGTCAGTTCTTGTTTGGATTTAAGTTCCCCTTCACCATTCAAAATGTCCTTATACCTTACAATTTTTTCCATATTTATTATATTTAGATGTATCAGTGCCTCCATCGTGGAGAGCCAAACTGGTATTTTCATATAATGTCTTTCTTTAATTTCCCCCCATACTAACAGTAGTGCATTTCTAACAAGGTATCTTTGAAAGTATAGTATCCATGTATTTTATTTTTCTCATATCATAGAAAAACATGCCAGCCCAGTTGGAGTTCATGTCTCTCCAAAGTTAATAATCTTTTATGCTTCAAATTTACCCAGTCTTTCACCCAGGCAAGTGCAGAGGCCTGGTAATATAGCTTCCAATCTGGCAACCCAAAGCCCCCTTTAAGTTTAGTGTCCTGTAGCAGTTTCAATCTTATACTTTTTTCCCTTGCCAGATAAATTTTAATATAAAAAACAGGCCTCCCAAAAGTGTGGGAAGGCCAGAAACTGGCACATTTCCAGCTTCCAGGGAGCCTCCAGAACCCGGGGAGGCTGTTTTTGTCCTCCCGGAGGTTCAAGGAAAGCCACCTGAGCCCTGTGATGGCAAAAATGCCCCCCTCCCCCCCCAGTGGTGCAGGAGGCTGACTAGGCCACGTCCACTGTGGCCACACCCACCCAGCAACTGGGCAGAGAATCCGTTGCTAAGATTTTTGAACTGATTTTTGAACTTCAGTTTTGTAACTGAAACTACCAGTTGGCACTTTTTCCAGTGCCGTAACTTCAAACGGTCCCTAAAAAAACAGTCAAAGACTAATTGTACTGTACTGTATATAAATAGGGAGCAAATCTCATGCACTGGCACTGATTATGTTAAAGATCAAAGATGTTGGGTAATGTAACATCAGCAAGCAAGGAACCAGCTTAGAGAGCACCAAGGACTCCACATTTCAACCTAGAGATAGAGATTCTCTCCCTTCGGATCTCACCCAGCAAAAACAGAAATGAGGACATCGAATTTTCCACCCTGTTTCTCATATGGAAAGTTGAAAATGTTCTTTCATTTTTCAATAACTGTCAAATATGGAATTAATTTGAATTCTTAGCCTAAATCAGAGATGGATACAATTTTCCGATGACTGCCTTGGTGTAGATTTGTCTCTCATTTCTGCTGCTTCTAGTGTTAAGTAGCCTCAAGCTGACCAAATAAACCAAATGGAAGCATATCAGCAAATATTTTCTGTTGCGGTTTTCCAGAACTTCTTGGGCCTTTTTGGACCGAGTGACATACTGTTTTCCTGATAGACTATACAACATGAGCTTCATAATCAATGAACACTTGTCATCAACAGTTGTAATTATCTAGATGCTATTTTAAGTTAGGTGGGAGTGAGGGGGGGAAAAGGGTGGAAGGAAAAATTAAGAAAAAAGATAGGTATGCAGGAAGAAAAGGAAAGAAGGGTCAAACAACTAATATGATTTATGCCAAAATGCCAAAAATGAATAGGCAATTGTAGACAGAGGATAAACAAAGGATAGACCAAGACTGCACATGACACACAGGCTGTCACCTATACTAACCTAGACAGCAGGTTCTTCTGAATTATGCCAGTGAGAGCTGGGTGACTAAGTGCCGGAACGTAATCATCGAAGTTAAATAGTCCTCAGTGATGGCCTATCAAGTGAGATGTCAGAAAAGCAACCACCAAGAATGGTTGAAGGTGTGCATTTAAGCATTAGTTTAGAAAGTAGATCAGTCAGCACTGACATTTTTTTTAGATGCACACCTCTGTTTCTATGTGTTATAAAGCGGAGACATTTTTTTTCCCTAAACAAAGCAGGCTGCAGCACTACCAAGCCATCAAAACAGATGGTGGCATGTGCCAAGGGTGGAAAGCTTTGCTTTTCTACCCAGCTGAGCAAAGAGGCTGGAGAGGGGCATGGCATGAGCCCAATGCCATCCCCTCTCTAAGGCAAGAGGCAAGATTCTGCTCTCCCCACATGAAATGGGACATGCCAGGAAAAGTCTTCCACCCAAGGTATTTTTTCTAAAACTGGCATTCTGGGGAGGCTTGCTGATTCTGCAGCAAAGACAGCTAATATTTGCATACCAGCAACAAAAGCCTTCTGTCGTATATCTCATACGGACAAAGGACGCGAGTCGGTGACTTGGTTCAGCTCATTTATTAGGGTAAGACACAAGTGGGGAGAGTGGGGAAGAAGCGCGGCTTAAAAGCACTTTCTGCTGAGTGCTGCAGCCAATCGGGTCGTTTTGAATCGCCCGCGATCGGCTCAGCCAATCGCGGTCGATTCCGAACGACCAATCAGTGCCGCGCACTCAGCCAATCCGGTGGCCGTGCGCTTTAGCCAATCCGGGCTGCCGGATTTCGAGTATTCAAATGTCTGTACAGAACACCCCTCCCCTCTTGGTTTGGTCCTACGTGACGTAGTCCCGTAAGTAGGCGGGGCTCCGTATTTTCCGACTTGACTTGCACTGGTCAGTTGTCTCCTGGCTGTCGGCCGGTTCGGGTGGG